TCACATTTGTTTTTATTTCAGCTAAATAAAGACCCTAGGAAGCAACATGTGATGTCACATGCCTCTAACCCTAGCACTTAGGAGACTGAAGCAAGAGGACTGCCCCCAGTTTGAGCCCAGCCTAGGCTACAAACTAGTTAGGGCTGCATAGTAAGACCTTGTCTTGAAAAGCAGGCTGCCGTGCTTGGTGACACATGCCTGTAATTCCAGCACTTGGAAGGCAGAGACAGGAGGATCACTGCAGCTTTGAGGCCAGCCTAGCCCACATAATAAACTCCAGGCCAGTCAGGGCTACTTACCAAGACCCTGTCTCAAAAATGAATCAAAGCAAAACAAAAACAAAAAGACCTAAGTGATCCAGCAAAAAGCATATATTAATTTGTCTTACTCTCCTCCAAGACCATAGCTTAACGAAATGAAGTGATTTAATTATATATGTGTAAAGTAGCACAATACATTAGAAGTAGTACAACAGTAGACTTTCTGGTACTTCCACAAAACTCTCCTTTCAGGAATGTTTTGTTAATACTGAATTTTGGTTTAGATTGAAATATAACCATTCAAGCTTACCTAAAGCCAATGGAGTAGTAATTTTCACAGAAATCTTGGGTTCTAGTTGTGAAAGTTCCTGGGTCTCCTTCAAGTAAACAAAAAGTCCATCAGAACTGCACTGATTTTGTCATGAAAAGCTTTATTGTAAAGCTTTATTGTAAGCTGTGTTACCAGACACCAACCCAGAACAAGAAAGAGAAGATTGGAATCTGTCATAATTTAGTGGCTGATAGAATTCTTTGTTTTCTCTGACAGGTGAACTTGCCTATCTATATTTGCTTCCCATCATCCTTAAAAAAAAAAAAACACACACACAACTATGAAAGGTATTTTTAAACAGTAATTGGTCCTATTCATGGCATTTTACATGACCTTAATTTATTCATAGTGAAATAACTATTTTTTAATCTGAATAATCAAATTAGTAGATTAGCATTTTAAGCTAGATAGGACTATCTATGTCCTAGTCTTCTCAATTATAAATCCTCAGCCCATAAAAAAATCCAATTTTGTTATTGGATTTTTTATTTTATTATTTTCTTTTGCATTTATTAGTATTCTGTCTAGAAGACATTTTGACATGTGGTTAATGATAGATGAATGCCTTTTCCTGGAGAGAACTAAACTATGTGACGCATCTCTTAGAAATTGCTGGAAAGTGGGGCTAGAAAGATGGCTCAGTGGTTAAGAGCACTTCCTGTTCTTGCAGAGGACCTGGGTTCGGTTCTCAGTACCCACAACATGACTGCTCACAACCATCTGTAACTCCAGTTCCAGGGGATCTGTCACCCTCTTCTGGCCTCTTCAGGCACTGCATGCACACACAGACAAGCTGACACACACACACATAAGTTAAAAGGTAAGATAATTTTTTTAAAAATTGCTAGAAGGGGGACTGTCATTGATAGAGGTACCCTGATATGCTGTTTGGGGAATTTCTAGGGGTCATCTGGATTACTGATAACCATGGGCAGGTGTCAGGATTCCTTTTATGCCACTCCACATAGAAGAGACTGGTAGTATGAGAGCTGGATCCTTGGCTACAGGCTATGGGAGCATATTGGGCTTTGTAAGGGCAGGGGAGTCCTTCTGCCAAGGAACTCTGTATATTCTTGGATTTGACTTTTCTTTTCCTTTGTTTTGAATTTGCCTTCCTTTTCTGAGGATATAAAAGGTAATTCTGAATGTTTAGGAAAATTATCACTGGAGTGTGGGGTTCTCATATTTAGCATACACATACAGTTATAGGATACCCAGTATACTTAAAACATTGCAATGGGACATGCAAAAAATGTTTTTCTACAATGCAAATTTAACTGGATATTCAGTGTTATATATGCCAGACCTACTAGGACAGTGCAAAGGAGCACCAGTAATAATTATGCCAGCATAAGAAGTAGGAACTGGTCTGTCCTGGGGAGAAGGGAAAGTATGGTCAATCTAAGCAAAAGGAGTTGAGAAAGATTTTTTTATTTGTTTTAAACTGTCTTAATTGCCCCTCTTTATTATGGACACTCATCTCTTTGTGACTGTGAATCACCATGAAAATAAAGTATATTGCTTTGTAATTTTCATATTTAAATTTTTGTTAAGGCACTTTAAAAACTAAGGTACCTGCTATTTAATTATGAATTTTTATAGGGACCACCACCCATACATGAGATTTAACAGTCTAAAATTAAAAAAAAAATTGTGTGTGTGTGTGTGTGTGTGTGTGTGTGTGTGTGTGTGTGTGTGAATGCCTTGTGTAGTGTACAGGTGCTTACAGAGGCCAGAAAAGGGCATTTGATCCTTAGAGCTGGAGTCACAGAAAGTTGTGAGCTGACCAACTTCAGTCCTCTGGAAAAGCAGCAAGCACTCTTAACTGCTGAGCGAGCTCTTCAGCCCTCTTTCTTTGTGTTATTTACATATGAGTGTTTTACCAGAAGCAATTGTAACTTAAGACATGGTTTTCCGTATGTTTTTCGTTTTTGTTATCATTTTCCAGTTTGTTGTTGTTTTGGGGAATTTAGTTCATAACTTAGCCCAATCTTAATTGAATAGCCCGGTATCATCTTCTCTTGTTAACCTTTCACTGACTTTTTGCAGATTCACAAATACTTGAAAACCTGCTACATGAAGACCTCTCTGCTTAGCGCAATAATAATTAAGACACATATTTAGACGGTGTATCCTCAAAGCGTGTACAGCCTATACTTAATCGAGGAGACTCTCTACAACTTCATGTACTTCAGTTTAGCTCTGTCTTCTGCTGTTCTTATCTCCTTTTCCCCCCCCTCTAGTTATTTGAGACAGGGTCTCCCTATAGCCACCAGCTGGCCTGGAACTTGCTATGTAGACCAGGCTGGCCTCAGTCTCACAGAGATACTCCCACTTCTGCTGAAACTAAGGTGTGCACCACCACACCCAGCAGTTCTTATGTCTTTTGATGTAATAACTAGTGTGTCTAGAACAAATAAACCGTGGATTTACATGGAATTGTCTTTTGTCTTTAACATCTCTTCTGACCATGTGCAGGCTTTCATAGGCGTTTTAGCTATATTAGTTAGGTATAATTTTTCTGCATTGTAGTTTATATATAAATTGATATGAAAATGCATCGCAATATAATATATTTGAACTACCTGGAACCTTTAAGCAATGAATAATCCCAGGTAACAATTTTCTAAATTGTTAAACCTTTTAACAGATTTCAGAATTAATAACAAGTTTCTCTGAAGGAAGAGTTTTCTTTAAAAGTGTTTCCTTGCTTTTGTGTGTCAGCATTTACTTATCACTATTGTTGTTGCTACTGTTGCTGTTGTTGGATTTTTGAGAGAGGGTCTTGCCTTGGTTGACCTGTCACTCATTATGTACCCCAGACTGGCAAGTCGGCCTCAGACTCCTGAGTGCTGGTATTAAAGACATGCACCACCACACCTAGCTTGTTTTATAGTATTTTAAATATACTTGGCATTACCCTGTTTTGTATTATTGTGAAAATACACAGAACTTTTACTTACCCTCACATAAGTAGAAAATTCAGTGCAGAGAAACATGTATGGTACAGTCTTTCCTGTCTCCCAGCTAACTGTTCTTTTCACTCACAATAGTCAGTGTTTAATGAGTATTTTGTATAATCTTTCCAGAGATTGCATTGGCATATGATTATATGTTCTCTTTTCCCCTTTTTTATACAATGCTGTCTTAAGGTTCTTATTAGAATAAGCTTTCTGGTGCTTACTCTCCCAGATACATAGACTCATGCATTTTTCTCAGACTTTCTTATAATTATTAATTTGCCTGATTTTTGTTTTCTTGTTATCCACTTTTCTTTTCAGCAAATAGATGTCTGGTATCTCCCACTGTGTATGTATAACACTTTACCTACGTGTCTCCGGATATTCTTGATACTACAGCGTTGCACTTCTAGAAAGCCTTCTAGATCTAACCTTTGTACACAGGAATTTTCTTACTAGTAGTCAAGAAAGAGATGCATATTTAATTTTGATTCATTTTATTAATTGGCTCTCAAAAAAAGGTGAAATTATTTAATATCTTCATCAGTATTATCCTTGTTGAGAATTACCAGACTTAAAGTTTTTGCCAACCTAACAGAAGTATAAGAATTTTATTTTATTTTATTTTATTTCATTTTATTATGATTAGTATTGAGAATATGGACATTTTTCCTATGATGAATTACTGTTTGTGTTCTTTCCCCATTTTTTTTTCCTAAGACAGACTCTCCCTGTAGCCCTAGCTGGTCTGGAACTCGCTATGTAGATGAGGCTGTTCTCAATCTCACAGAGATCCGCCTGCTTCTGTATCCCAAGTGCTGGGATTAAAGGTGTGTGCCACCACTCCTAGCATTACCCATTTTTCTTATAGGTTATTTATCTTGTTACTGTTTTTGAGACAGGGTTTCTTGTATCTCAGGCTGGCCTCAAATTCAGGCCAGCTGTTGCTGAGGATTATGAGTTTAAATTTTGAGTCCTCCTGACTCTACCTCATGAGTTCTGGGAGTACAGTTGTACACCTGCACCATCATGGCCTGGTTTAAGCAAGGGATCAACTCAGGGCTCTGTGTATGCTAGGCAAGCACTCTACCAGCTGAGCTACGTTATCAGCCTGTTGATACTTTTTAAGTGTACTTGTTTTGTTAGAAAAGTAGTCTGTAGTCATATATTTCCATTTTCTCCATCTTTTTTTGCCTTCTGTACAGTTTGTAAACGTACATAATTTGAGATCTGAGTCAGGGGTGGTAGCTGTGAATTCATTAAAGATCTACCTCATTCAAGCTGCTAAATACTTTTTAAACAAGAAAAATGTTATAACAAAAAATAATGTAGTGCTTTTACCTCCTTAGAAGAAAGAAAATGTTAATAAAAGTCTGAAAACTATGTAGTGGGTATGAAGTATAATAACAATGCTGAAAATGCATGTGTTTTATATATCTTTCCTTCTAGAGGTTTTGTCAGCTATGATTAGTGTGCTGTTGGTCTATGTTCTTATGGGATTCCTCTTGTATGAAGCTGTGCAGAGAACTATCCATATGAACTATGAGATAAATGGAGACATCATGCTCATCACTGCAGCTGTTGGTGTTGCAGTTAATGTAATGTAAGCCCAATATTTTTCACATTAATATTTCAGGTACTATGATTTTAGAAGTTATTGTATATGCATGCATTCAGACTATGAAATGCTATTTTTATATTTTAAAAATATAGTACGTACGTTTTTCTTGTAAGTGTAATTAAAATGGAGCATTATAAACTCCTGTTAGCTTGTTCAGGTGTCCTGCAGTTTGACAATAAGAAGGAATTTAAGTAAGACAAATAATTTTGTTTAATTTTTAATATTTTTATGTTAGCTACATTTAAAGGTATTTATGATAGTTTTGTGTGTGTGTGTGTGTGTGTGTGTGTGTGTGTGTGTGTGTGTGTATGCCATGGCACATATGTGGAGGTCAGAGGACAGCTTATGGGAGTTATTCTCTTCTTTGACTATTTGGGCTCTAGGAATTAAACTCAGGTCATCAGATTTGGCAGCAAGCTCCTTTACCTGCTGAACCATCTCTTACTGATCTGTTAGCTCATTTGTTAACTACCATTTTTCCCTAAAAGCTACTAAAATGATAAGTTATATGTTTAATCATTTAGAGCAGGGGTCAGCAGATTTTTTCTGAAAAGGATAAATAGAGTTTCGGGTACAGTTTAGTACTATTACTAGCATGCATAAGGACCCGGATGGAGCTCCAGTACTTCCAAAACAATGAAAAGACTACATAATAAGTGTTTTAGGTTTTGAGAGCTATACAGTTTCGTTTGAGTCTATTAAACACTAATGTTAAGAATAAAAACAGCGATATTCATTGTGTAGCCAAATGAGTATGGCTCTATTCTAATGAAACTTTATCTTAAAAAGAAACATGTAGCCAAATATGGTCTATATGCCATAGTTTACTAATCACTGCCTAATGTAATGGCTTCTGTTCATACCTAGAATAAAAATCACAAGTTCCTACCATAGCCTTTTCATCTCTTAGCACTTCGTGCTTACTTTATTCTGGCCATGATGACTGTCCTTTTTTCAAGCACATGGATTACATTTTCATTTTAGGGCCTTTGCCTGCTGTTCTTCTGCCTAGAACACTTTCCCACCACTTGCTTCTGGCTCCTGTCAAGTCTGTGCTCAAATGGAGACTGAGACCTGTGACTACTCCCCCTTACCTGACCCCTCGCTTCCCATAGTTTTGCAAAGCTGTACACTTTTTCCAAGAATTTCACACTAACTGGCTTTATATTGGGTGTGTATTTGTTTTCTTCTCTGACGTCCCATGTAGAACACAAGCTCCCTGAACTCAGAACAATACTTGGTATATAATGGATGCTCAAATATGTATTAAATGAATGAGCTCTGTATTGCTTCATTAGTGTCTGGTAGTAATAAATGTTTTGTCGGTGCTGGAGAGATGGTTAAGAAAACTGACTGCTCTTACAGAAGCCCTGGGTTCAGTTCCCAGCACCTACATGGCAGCTAACAACCATCCATAACTCCAGTTCCCTGCTGAATCTAATGCCTTCTTCTGACCTCCATGGGTATTGCACGGCATGGGTGCACCCACATACATGTAGGCAATATACTCATACACATAAAACAAAAATAATAAATAAATAAATGTTTTGTCAAAAAGCTAAGAGAAAATAATGCTTTTTTTCATTTTTACAGAATGGGGTTTTTGTTGAACCAGTCTGGTCACCATCACTCCCACTCTCATTCCCATTCCCTGTCTTCAAGTTCTCCTGCCGTGGGATCTGGTGGACACAGCCATGGGCAGGACAGTTTGGCAGTAAGAGCTGCATTTGTACATGCTCTGGGGGATTTGGTACAGAGTGTCGGTGTGCTAATAGCAGCATACATCATCCGATTCAAGGTAATATGGTTGATTTCCCTATTTCAGAATTACTTAATTTTGCTATTAAAGGAAAAGCTAATTGTCTCTTATCAATGCACTGTGCACTAAATTCATTTCTATGCATTTTGCATCCGTATAGTTATTTGTATTAGGAATAAACACAGCGGCATCACCTTGCCAGCTGGTTTTTCTGTAATTGGCTTTGGTAGATAGATAGCCTTGGCTGTAGAACTCAGTGTTAAGCTGAACCACTAGATAGTGGAATGTGCACTGAAGTAGAAATTAGAAATCTTGGTTCTCAGCTTTGCAGCAAGTCCTTCAACTCTAAATTTGAATTCCCTCCTCTTTAATATGAGACCCTTAATCCAGATGGCTGCTGCAGTTCTTTCTAAATTCAGTGCCTTAAGCTTCTGGTAAAGGGTTTAGAGATGGCACAGAGGGGAGCAAAATAGTGGTTAAACTCCTAGAGATAAGACACTGGAGGAAAGTCCTTCAAACAATTTTAAGAAAGAGTTTGTTTCTCAATTACACTATTCAAATTTTAGAAGTCTTCTCCAGTCCTGCTAAAGAAAGCCAGAGAACTGGGGACATGTGCCTTGTTTCACTTTATAATATGTCTTATGTCTGTCTACATTTAATCATACAGCTTTCATCTGTTACCTTTTAGCCAGAATATAAGATTGCCGATCCCATCTGCACATACGTATTTTCATTACTTGTGGCTTTCACAACATTTCGCATCATATGGGACACAGTAGTTATAATCCTAGAAGGTAAGCTCTTAATAATATCCCCATTGTGGGTTTATCTCTTCCTTAATAGAGACTGTGAGTCAGAGGGACACTCTGGGTAAGAGTCATGTCTTTGTATTTTACTGATATTTCTTAAACTGTATTACTCTATCCTGTATATAACAAATAAGAATCAGTACACGCCTGTGGGCTGTTCATTTGACCCTTAAGTAGCTAAGGGAAGTAGCAAGGCAGACAGTGGGGTAAATTATCCACATTTTCAAACAAAATATTTGATGGGATAATATAACTTGGTCAAGGTTTTGTAGAGCTAGGTCAAGAATGTAACTTTTGATTCTTAATGCAATTATGCTTAGTGTTTTATTTAACCCCTTAAGTATCCTTTAATTTGTGACTTTGTTGTATTTATGACATTCTTGCCTTATTGATAATGTGTCTAAGCATAAAAACAAAAGTTCTCAGTAATAGACTTATCATCATCAAATGTTCTAAGTAGGGTGTGGTTTACATGCCTTTAATCTCAGCACTTGAGAGGCAAAGGCAAACAGAGCTCTGAATTCCAGGCTAGCCTGTTCTACATAGCTAGTTCCAGGTTGGGGGCAGGAAGGATTTAGAGAGACCAAAAAAAAAAAAAAAAAAAAAGAAAGAAAGAAAGAAAAAATCAAATCAAATGTTTCTCTTTTTTTCTGTCCTTGCTATCTGTTAAGCTAAGTATTCTAACTTGACTACCATTCCATTTTAGTAAGAATTAACATTTTAAAGTATGTATTAATCTCTTATACATTTCCTATATTTTTGTAAGAATGTCCATAATTTATCTTTAAATATAAACATAAAGTATTCATTGAAAATGAATCTAGCAAAAACCATTTGTTTTCTTTTAATGTAATATAAAATGGTTTCTCTACCAAAGTAAAACTTTACTTAGAAATTATATATTCCAAACCATTAGGTGTGCCAAGCCATTTGAATGTAGATTATATCAAAGAAGCCTTGATGAAAATAGAAGATGTATATTCTGTGGAAGATTTGAATATCTGGTCTCTCACTTCAGGAAAATCCACTGCCATAGTTCACATGCAGCTAAGTATGTTGCTGATGGTAAATATGGGCCTGTCTGGGGTTAAAGGACAGCTATCTTTTGAACCAAACATCTGAGCTTATCACTACTTAGGGAGACTTTTCTAATGAAATGATTTAAGGGAGGGATATGTCTCTTCAAAAGGTAAGATGCAGGTCAGAAGGATAACTAGGGCTGAGAATATAGCTCAGTAGTAGAGCACTTGCCTAGCATGCATGAGACCTTGGGTTCAGTTCCCAGAACCTTGAAAATAAAATCAATAACACAGCATCACAAATTTATATTTACCTGTATATTAAAGGCATTAAAGTATATTTTCATGCCCTTTTCTCCATAAGAAAAGCTAGGCTCTTATTTAAGTAATTTCAAAGATTGATGACTTTAAAATTCAAAATAATGTATGCATTTGTTTTTTTTTAAGTGCATAAGGTCTTTAAACAAAAGATTTGTAATTGTTGTCTTATATTCTTCCTCTGTCTGAGAGTGGACTGGAGGGATTGGAATAATAAGAAGCTCTTCTGGACTTATGAAACTGCCTTCTGTAGTAGAATCATGTTGAGAGGGTAGAAATCATACTAACAGAAATATCCTCATAGGGTATTGTTGTTTCTTTATCTTATTTACTCAGGTGTAGCTCTGTACAATGCAGAGTAATGATATTTTCTTGATATTGCAGTTCCTGGAAGTTCATCTAAATGGGAGGAAGTACAGTCCAAAGCAAAGCATTTATTGTTGAACACATTTGGCATGTATAAATGTACTATTCAGCTCCAGAGTTACAGGCAAGAAGTGAACAGAACTTGTGCAAATTGTCAGAGTTCCAGTCCCTGACTTTATGTGTTTGGGGGTCTGCTGCCTTATTTGTCCTGCAGTCACAGATGTGAGAGCAATAAGTGCAAACCTACATGAGAAGTGGAACCTCTGACAGCTGTGTCCGTGCCAAGCACCAGTCCCTCGAAGTAGTCACTTCAGCTGTGACCGTGAGTCTCTTTAATGCAAAATGGGACTTCATAATGTTCAGAGGAAGATGTTTCCAAAGTACTGTTTACAGAATGAGCTGTAACTCTACAGATACCTCACAGAAGACAATCCGAGACCATACTTCATTAATTTGACAGAGTACACATGTCTTCAAGGGAGCATCAGAATTCAGTATTTGCATTTAAAGTACTTTTTACAGTCCTTTTCTATGAAGTCAGTGCTAGCACACTCAGTGTTAAATTGTTTTGTTTTGTATTTTAATCATCTGGCTTGTGGAATTGCTGCTCTCTTTTACAGAAATCATCCCTCAACAGATTTCAGAACATAGTAATAATATCCAGAGACTGGAATAAGCATGTATTCCTATTTCGAAATGTTTTATTTCACAAATAACTATTAATGTTATAATTAGAGTTATACTTTATAAGCAAGGTTTTCCAGATATTACTGGATTTTGAATATCAATCTTTTTGATTATTTGTAATCCTGTCAAAATCTTCATGTAATGTGGGCAGTGTCATTAAATTATTTAGGAAATATTTTAATATAATTCTGAATGTCAGAAATTAGTTTTAACTTCAAATTACCATATGATCATTTAAAACAGAGAAGGATGGGGTTTGGAATTTCAGATTTTTGTCTTCCCTAAAAATCACTTTTGTTGTTTATATAGAATTGTCTTAAGAACAGTAAGAAACTACAAAATTTAAGCAGTTATTCTCTGTCCTTTTAAGAACTGCCAACATTTGGTACAGTTAGATACCTTGGTTTTCATCTCTACACCAAGTAATCTATATGCATCTTTCAGACTAACTGTAGAGGGCTAAGGTTGAGTTTATTAATATCCACTATGTAAAGTAACCTTTACTCCAGAGAGGACTTCTCTTTCACAATATGGGTCAGGGGTTCTCCATGGACTACAGAAAACCCCAAGGTATATCTTGAATTTTTCCAATAATGCAATAGCAGAAAGATACAGAAGGGTTGGGTTGAGATCCTACTTTGAGAAAATGAAAGATAAAGGGCTTTTGGCCATGTGTATGCACGAAAGAACTAGAATGATGGGCATTAAAGCTGTGGGGAGGTAGCACGAGCATTTCCAAATGCAAGACAGCTTAACTGGTAATAGTTGTGTTACAGAGACATTTGTGAATATTCATGTTCATTGGCAACCATTGGTTTTGAGGTGATCTTTATGCACATTAGGGGTCCCTTTTCAAAAATTTTAGGAGACTATTAATAAATGGCAGATACTTCAGTGGATACCGAAGCATGTATGGCCTTTAGGTATCTAGGGGGAAAGGGGAAATTTGCATTATATACTAATAACTTTATCATATCAACTGAGCTTATTTCTTGGAAACATTTCTTTATCTTAATGTGGCCATACCTGGTTTTTAATATTGACTTGTTCCTTTAAAAGTTATTTTATAAAACAGTCTAAAAATCTACTTGACTATTGAAAAGGGTCATTTTTATAAAATACAGAAACACTAAAAACTTTAAAATCTTAATTAGCATATTCTGCTTGAAGTGAGGTACACCTGAAGTTTTATTGCTTTATTTTTGTAGCAAGAACTAGACTCTGTGCTTTACTGGGTCTACAGGATTGAGAACTGATTGATTCCACTTTTAGTAACTTGTCAGAACCCACAGAGGAGGACTTTAACTCAGCACTTAACACCAGGGACTGCACGGCTGACATCTTTAGTCTGTTCTTCACTTGCAGAGCTATAACTGCTTGGTAGCTGAGCTGTCTGAGCACTCCATTGCTCAGTGAAAAGCAGGATCTGAAGTGGAGAGACACAGTGCTGATCTTACACTAGAGAACATCACAAATAAAAACTTGGTGATTCTTCTATTCTAATGAATATTTGCAAATAATCAGTTGCTGTGAACCCATGTTCCACAACTCTGGCTGCATGTAGCCTTTTGATTTGTTTTAGGAAGACTGACTAATGATTTTTCTGCTTTAAGAAGCATACTGAGAATGCAGTTGAGTAAGACATGTTTCAGAGGGATGTGACAGGCAGAACTAGAAGCCGTTGTTCTCATACGTGGCTTAAGACTCCATTAGCCGTGGGTCTTATGTTCTATAAGCCCAGATTTCACATCCACGGCTCCTATTGGTACTGTTTGCCAAATCACTGGATTCCTTAGTTTACTATGCTTCTTTCAGTTTGTGGGGCTTTATTTTCATTCTCTAAAACTATGTTTCCTGCTTTTACAAATCTCAGTGTTCTATCTCTTCAACCCAGGTGACCCACCTGTCAGTGTTTGTCTTTAGGAAAATCCTCCTAGAATGGACACAGTCAAGATCAGCTGCACAAGCATCTCTCATCTGAATGTGAGGGAAACCATTCAGAGGCAAGGCACACTTAAAAAGTGTTTCCAGGTGGGAAAGAGCCTTTCTTCTTGAACAGTGAATTGTTCCTAATCCAGATTTCTGCACACTGAGCTTTGTAGAGCACATGAGACAGAACTAGACCACGTGGCCACCTGTGAATAGTGTTGCATTTCTTAGAACACCACTCAGCAAGCTTGTTTGGCTATATTTGTTTTCTTTTTATGTACTTATAATAATTGGTTCATCATCATCAGATGTTCTTAAGGAATCTAAACTCCTTTGAAGTACAGTCTTAGGCAGTTTTTCTATTGACTGCCTTGTATGTAGTAAGTTTGAAGCTACAAAATGTATCTCTAGATAAAAGATTAATTCATTTGTTTAGCTCCTCTTTGTACCAAGCTTAGTTATAAATGAACAGCGACACCAAACTAGATGCTGTGTTGAGGAAAGGCAGATCTGACCTCCAGATAGTTGATGAAGATAATATCTCTGTAGCAAACTCTCTCCAAGTCTGCATGTGGAGCCTATTGGTCAGGACTTCAGATTTTATTTAGAGATTGCAGTTAGGATATTGTTTGTGATGTTAGTGGGAGCATGCAAATTGGAGAGAAGAAATTGTGGGAAATTCCTCAGTGTTAAATTGTGTCTACATTTAGGCAAGCCAGTCATTGAGTTCCTGCTTACCAAAGTTTGTTGGGACCAACAGACATTTTCTGATTAAATTGACAGTGTCAATTTAAATAGTGTAATCAAGACTATCCTGAAATAAATGCAACCCAAAATTGAAACGTGCCAGTTGTCAGTTTCCACCTGGAAGATACCTTATATTTGGAGAACTTACACATCTCTAAATAAATGTGTTATTTAAAAAGCCATATCACAGTTTAAGAAATTGTATATACTTTTCCATATACCCCTTCAGAAACCAGGTATTTTGAATATGATTGATTTTAGAAAGATTTTGAAGCTGGGGTTGGTTTGTGTAATTAAGATAAAGGTATATGTATATGTACTGTATTTGCAATTTTCAAATTGTAATTTCCTATACATTTATTAAATAAAGTGTTGTTTTGCCATGTGGTTTATTTAAAAAATGTCCAATCCATTAAGTTTTTGTTTATTTTTATTGATTAAAAAAATAGTACGAGGCCTTAAAACATGCTCTTTAAACAGAAAAACTTTGGAAAATAGATTATAACCTATCTAGTTTTATAGTCTCAAACTGTGATGCCTTCTTAAATGTTTAAGAAAGAAGCCTGAAAACATCTTCCAGATAGGATGAGATAGTAAAGGAACCTTTCTCCTTTGGTGTCAGTCACTGACTTGTAATGTTCCTCCAATACCAGAAACCTGCATAAAGGACAGAAGCCACCCCGAAAGTCAGATTGATAAGGATTGTGGGAAGCCTGAGCTGAAGAGCCTGGTCATGCCAGTGTTGTGGGCCAGTGCTGCGCAAACCCTCATTGGCCAGATCTGCAGCCATTTTTTGTGACCCAAGAACTAATAATGATTTTTTTTTAATTTTGTTGTTGTTTGAGACAAGATCTCACTGTGTAACCCCAGCTAGTCTGGAACTTGCGACATAGACCACCCCAGTCTGGCCTCAGTCTCACATAGATCTGCCTCCCAAGTGCTGTGATTAAAGGCATGCACCACCATGTGCAACAAACGCATTGCTGAATTTTTTTAATTGATGGAATATTTTGTGACTTTTGTGAACTTTACGATCCAGTGTCCATAAATAGTGTCATCGGACAGATGTATGTTCATCCAGTTACATAGCCATGACTGCTTTCATGCAGTGATGGCAGAGTTCAGTAGTTGTGACAAATGCAAAGAGTTACTACCTGAAACTTAGTAGGAAAACTTTGCCAAGCCCTGGTATAGAATGTTGTACATATTAAAGGCTAAAATAGCATGGATGGATGCAGGAATTCCCACTTGGAAGTTTATATAACTGTAAAACTTAAAGCATCTTTCACTAGAAGTTCCTTTCTTGATCTTTTTTCTTGGGTCTGGGGCAGAAATATAGAGTAGCAAGACTCCTGGTATTACTCATGTACAGTGTTCTCTCCAAACCTCCACTACCAGAGAAGTTCTCATAGCACCATGATCAGAACAGTTGTATAAGTACAAAAAAAAACAAAAAATAATTGCATTTAATTTTTAAATTTTTGACTTAAAAGCCAGGTGTGGTGGCTCACGCCTTTAATCCCAGCACTTGGGAGGCAGAGGCAGGTGGATCTCTGAGGTGAAGGCCAGGCTGGTCTACATAGTTCCAGGACAGCTGGGGCTACAGGGAGACCCCCCCCCCAAGAAAAGTCTTTTAATAATAATAGTCAGCATTTGAGAGGGGCCATCACCAGAAAGAACTCTTCACCCTGAGGAGAAGCAGGGCAGAGTTTATGAAGTTTAAAAACCACAATTACATCAGGCCAGGGGCAAAGCCAGTAACCATAATTACACCAGACCAGGAGCAAGTCAGTATTGTTTTCAGTTAACAAAAAGTTTTCTAAGTTTTGGTTAGGAAAAGCAAGTTTCTCAGTTGCAGAAGCAGTGGGCTCTATGGAGATGCTGGGAGAAGACATGACATGCTACCTGGCAACTTGTGAGTTTCCCAGTCCTGCAGAAACAACAAACTCCCTGACATTGCCTGCATGAAACGTGCTGCCTGGCTGGCTGCACTTAGCAAGCATGAGCCTCGGGGTGGTTGGGCAGAAACACAGGGTAAAGCAAAAGTCAACTAGAAGAAAATGGAGTCAACTTTGCCATTTCAAGTGCTTTACATAGTTTACCAATTGAGAGCTCACAAATGAAAAAATAACTGCTAACGAGAATAAAAATTGGCTGTCAGGCTCTTAGAACAGTATCTTTGAAGGCTTCACATTACCTGGAGAAGACTTAACTCTATTGGAAAAGGAATAACAAAATAATTGTAGGTAGGATATATTGACAAATACTGTTACTTGATCGTATACCTGTATTTCAGTTTTTGATGTGTTACTGTTTTAGTCTTAACATCTATCAGATGTTAAATTCTTAAATACTTTGAGGGTAACAATCTTACAAACTAGGCTAGCTTTTGAACTTTTGTTTTAGTAAAGTAGTAAGATGGGGTATATTTTAATTTCACCTATGGTTCCATTATAGTTTCTATAAGCTATGAAATGAGACTAGGCAAAATGAAAGTAGCAAGCCCCGGGACCTTAATCCCCAGATGAGTCATGTAGAAGATCAGGAGGTTTAGTTGGGTGTGGTAGCACACACCGTTAATCCCAGCATTTGGGAGGCGGAGGCATGCAGATCTCTGTGAGATTGAGGCCAGACTGTGATGATATACATCAGGAGTTCCAGGCCAGTAAGGCCTACAGGGAGATCCTGTGTCAACAAAACAACAACAAAACTATAAAAACCCAGCCTTGGTGATACCACCAAAGATACCGTTTTCTGAGCAGCATTCTGGCTTAACAGACACTCATGTTACTTTTATAGAACATAACAAACTACAATTTGGTCCATCGGGTATTGCCCAATAAACACCAAGATGTTAACTTTGAGTTACTCTGTGAATGCTGTGTCTCCTGTTCTGGACTTTTCAGACTGGTTCTGGTTTGGTTTTCAAATTCCTGTGTTCTGTGCTTGCCATTTCTGCATACTGGTTTGTGGGTTTTGACTTGGCTTTTTATACCTTTTCACTTTAACAGACTGCTGACTATGTAGAAAGGGGGGACTGGGAATACAGCTCAGTGGTACAGCACTTGCCTAGCTTGCACAAAATCCTGGATTCAAGCCCCACAAGAAATAAAGGATAAAAATGTTATGTGAGTTAGGTTTTTTCCAAAATGTTGAGCTATCTCTTGGTACAGTAAGGTCTTTTTATAAACAGAAAAAAATTTAGACCTCATGAGAGGAAGTCTAGGCTTGGAGAAAACCTACCCCTGCTCCCTAGATTTCCCTAGGGGACCCATCCTTCCTACCATCTGCCTCTGCTCCCTAGACTTCTCTGGGGACCCCACCCTTCCCAGCATCTGCCTGCCCTTCCTACCCAGAGGAAACCTAACTGCTTAAAGGATCACAACGATATTGTCTCCAAAAGTGATGGTAGTGAATGACATTCAGGACGTGAAGATGGGGTAGGGGGGCAGGCCACAGGAAAAATTTTGTTCCTTCAGGCTCTTAATTAGTGATCATTTGAATTTCATTATCAGAACGCATTATTTCATTATCATTCCATTCTCCCATTGATTCTTTGTGTAATAATATTTTCCAAAGCCTGGGGTGCCTTTTAAACCCGGAAGACAAGTATTATTTAACTTAGAGTGTATTGGCCTTTGATGCATAGTTTGTTCTTATTAGCACTTCTCATTGAAATTAAGACACCTTAACAGGTTGGTTCAGTTAGTTGGAAATGTTTTTTTCTATTTTACAATCATTCAAAAAGAATTGACCTTTAAGGGCCATCTCCCTGCCAGTCAACATGCTATGAAATAGGGCACAAAACTTCTGAGTTGTTAAAGAGCAAATGTTGTGTTTGGGGGCATCTTGGGCCATGCCCTCACCCCTAGAGATAGATCACCTGTGGCTCTCACTGGGGATGGTTTCAGAACCTGGCCCACAGGATAGAGTCCATTCTCTCAGCAAAGACCCAGGATCCTGATCTGGTACTGCTTAGCTCACCACTCCAGAGCTACATCATCTCCACCACCACTGTCCTGTCTCCCATGTGTCAGCTATGCCAAACCACAATCAGATTTGGCTAACCTGGGGGGAAAAATAATTCTAGCTTGTTAAACTCTTTACGCATCCAAGACACTGCTGTGTACCTTGTAGTATTTTGTTTAATCCTCATGGCACTCCCATGAAGGACATTATAATCCTCACCAGAAGAGGATGGGTGACCTGCACGAAGTCATTAAGGTAGTTTTTAACTAGTAAGATATAACTTGGGCGTCAGTGTAGATTAATGTACTTAAAAACCACAACCAAGTTCTAGAAAACCTAACAATAATGGAAAACAATAGTTTAGGAGCACTCTTTATGATAGCATGCATGTGTCAAAAAATGAAGTAGCCAAAAGTCTGCTGTCTTACTTCGGCTGGCAGGGGCGGGGAGTGGGGATGGGAGCGGGGGACATCACATGAGTGCCAAATCAGGTCCCAATAGTTTCTCTCTATGCCTTTCTCTGTTCAGCCCTCTGGTCAGCCTGAACTTTGCCACTACTGTCCTATCTCCTCATTTGGTCTTGTCTTGGATGGGAGGAAGCAGTTGCATATTACGGTTAACATTCCGTGGTACCCAGTGGTCCTCGCAGCCCCCCAACTTTAATGCATACATGGATTGGAGAAAGATAATTACAAACATCTGAAAACAGAAGGAATTTGACCTACAACTGGACTGCCACTAACACAGGGTGACGACTAAACAGCTCAGGAATGCTGCATGGAGACTGAGCGCTTTGGAAACAAAAGCTAATTCACAGAACTATCCAGGAAGTCAGAATTAGAGGTTAAAGCTGACCTCATGTTGGTTGAGGGGTGGATAAGATATAGTTGATAGTGGAGTTAGTTACAAGGTTGCTCCAAACCACATGGATGTTTTTGTTCTGAGTTCACAGTGACAGTCTCACTCAAAACAGCCTGGCTGAGTTCTCTCCCAAGTCTTCCTCCTCAGCAGAGAGATGTGAACAAAGTCACTGTTCCAGTCTCCCTGTCTATTAGATGGGGGTAATGATTGTCCTACCTGATTCTTTTTTGGATTAAATAAGCTATATAAAGAAAGTAATATGAACACACAAAACTCAAGTGTCAGCCAGGCACAGTAGTATACACCTATAATTCTAAGCACTTGGGTGGCTGAGACAGGAGGACCACAAGTTTGAGGCCAGTCTGGCTATGTAGTGAAACTTTGTGTACAAAAGAAAGAAGAACAAAAGAAACTAAAATGTGAGCTCTTACTTAGTGCTGAGTTAATTCTCACAAACATTATTACTTTTTGACTGTTTGAGCACTGCCAGTCACGCAGCTTCCAGAAAAGATCAGATTTTATGGTCCTCTGTTCCTCTGCGCCCTTCCTGACCTGGAAGATTTCATCCCAA